CTTGCCGGGACCATTCTGTGTGGAGTTTGCTCTCTCTCTCTCTTCCTCCAAAGCTGTCCAAAAGCACTCAGTGGGACTACGTCAATGCCCATAGATGTGAATGTGTGGGGCAGACTCGTGATCTGTCCAGGATGTGCACCACATCATCTGGCTACTTCAGTAGGCACACCTGTTTAGCTGCTCTTCAACACAAATACCTAATCAGTCACATTGCTGCAAGTCAACATATTTAGTCTTATAGACGTGGTCAAGGATGATGTGCTGATGGGCTGCTTCAATCCAGGTTGTCATTACAACCAAGGTATGCAGAAGAGCACCTTTGAACACAGTGGCAGAAGACCACACTGAGTTCCGCACTTGTCAGCTATGAAGAGGAAAAATGTTGCCTGGTCAGAGGAATCTTAATTTCTGCTGCAACATTCGGGTGATAGGGTCATGTTGGTGTGAATAACATGAAAGCATGGATCCATCCAGCCTAGTAAAAGTAGTTCAGGTTTCTGCTGGTAGTGTGTAATGGTGTGGGCCATATTTTCTTGGCACACTTTCATGCCCTTAGTACCAACTGAGCATCTTTAAAACGCCACAGCGAACCTGAGTATTGTTGCTGACAATGTCCATTCCTTTATGACCACAGTGTACCCATAATCTGATGGCAGCTTCCAGCAGGTTAATGGACCATGTCCCAGAGCTCACATCACCTCAAACTGGTTTCTTGAACATTACAATGAGTTCACTGTACTCAATCTGAAGACAAAAGAAGTCCAACCCCGTACTAGCAGGGTGTGCTTAATAAAGACAGCGACTGTAAATCGTATCTGCTGAGAACTCTATCTCTTTCTACACTTTTTGTGTTACAGTATCACGGTGTTTGCTGGAAGATGAGCTATGCTGACTTTTTGCAGATTAGGTGGATATCACACTGTGAATATTTGTGCTCTTGTAATTATGAGTGATGCATGAGCAGTTGAAACTTGAACAGTGTGCAGCTTGTGTAAACAAGAATCAATTAAGGTAAGTGGTTTCCTTAGTTTAGCATAATAGCTTAATTCAACTGAAAACACAATGCATCTAAGGTCATCCAAATGAATATCAGCAGTGGCATCCAATATCTACTTTTCTGCATATTTTGCTCTTGACAGTAGTAGAATATCACACATCGAGCGGGATCACCTTTCCTCCTGTGCCGGCGTGCTTTCAGGTCGCTGTGATCGCATAATACACCTGTACTTCAAAAACGGAGTAAAAAAACAATTACAACAGCTACATGTCTGTTCCCAGAAACGCATTAGGGAAACAGCATGGGCTTTCCCAAATGGAGTGCATGGGCTGAGTCACTGACACGTAACACCAGAAAAATGCTATGAAGGCGCATGTGACCTATACAGCTTCAGAAGTGAAGAAGAAGAAAGTGAAAAGTAACTGCTAAGCTTTATTTCCGCTCCTGACAATATTGAGAGTAAACGAGAGAAAACGGGGTAATGAACCGCTAAGAACTGAAGGCACTAAAAACAATGGCGATGATTTCAGCTTGATTAGGGAAACAATAGCATTTTTATTTTTGACAAATTGCCCATTTCAGCCAATTCGATTTTTATAATAAATGCCAGTAAACTGAAAAGTGATTGTTTCCACTTTGTTCAAGGTCATCTTTCAAGATGACCTTGAACACTCTTGATCCATCAAAGCAAATTGGCCATTGTGTATTCGGGGAAGGCTTTGTGCTCATTGCCACAAAGGCAATGAGCACAATTGCCTTTGTGCTCCCTGATGATGGAGTTAATTCCCTCTCCTTCACTCCTCTGCTGAGACATCAGCTATTACAAATCACCCTGAATGGAACACATACTGTATCTGCAGGCAAACAGGCTGGAATAATAAGGTGCTGATAATACCTGAAGCATAATAATGACCACAGACTTCTCTGCAGCACCATTCAATAAAGTTATGTAATAGACTTTTTTTCTTCTCAGTATTACATAATTAATAAGAGATGATGACTTCCCCATAGTCATTACTTTGCTACTAATGCTTCCTAAACTGTGATCTGCAATCATTAAGTGAAAGCTAAATTATAGGTGTTGCACTTAAAAGAAAAAAAAAAAGCCTATCGGTGCAATGGTGACAAGTGTAAAGCCAGAGGTATGCTTACACCGTAGCGAAGGAAAAGCAACTTATCGATGGCTGCTTTGCAGAAGATTCGAATAAATGCCTGTGACTACAAATCTGCCTTCAGTATTTGATGGGCAGATCTTTTCTGACTAGATGGGGACCTGGTCTCATTCTGAGGGAATCAGAAACTGCAATTCTGATAAAGTGGTAGGTCTGAACAGATGTTGTAATGCTCAGAGCTTAGTCAGTAATAATATGCATCTAAACCTAGCTCACATCCATCTCATCGCATATGGATGCTTCTGAAGGATGTCTTGGCATCATTTTTAAATGCACTCTTGTTTTTGAATGTGCGGAATTAATATTAGTGATGAAATATTCCCAGACACAACCTTTTCTAGATATTCAAAGTGGCTAAACAAAAAGCTAGTCACACAAATCTGTGAGTGACTACCAAGTGAGATAAAGTGCAAAAAACTCAAGCAGGACACAAACCGCAGTCTCCCGAACCAGACTATCACTCCTCCAGCCTTTTATTCCAGACTTTGTAGCTTGTTAAGATTTGTCAGCCTGACCGCCACGCTGCCATATGGAGGTCCCCGTTCCCCTCCTGAAGCAGATCATTCTGTTTCTGATACAATGTATCACTACACTGTACAATTATGCCAACATGTTTACATAGTAAAAAACTGTGAATATCAACTGCTTAATATTCCAGCCCAAATTTTGTGCAGATATTAGTGACCCCACACAGGACAAAGCCCACTGACTTTGCTGATCAAAACATACAGCACACCTACAGGAGCTCCCTGACTGTGGAAAGTCCTGCCATGAAGCTCCTGGTACACAATTTTCATGTTAATGACAGAGGAGCTTTGTAGTTACTGAGTCAGCAGGATGTTGGCAATTTCTGTCCACTGTGCACATCAGCACTTGGAGACGCCGCTCTGTAAATTCACATGGTCTGTTACTTAGTGTCTGAGATGCTGTAGTTTCTAGGTGCTTCCACTTTACATTAAAAATGAAATATCTACAAGGGAAGGGAAGAATTTTCCCAGACTAACTTGCTGAAACAGTGATATCCAAACCATTCTTTCACAAATGTTTTTAAAGGCAGGTATGGCTAGGTGCTGTGGCAGTGGGAGTGAAAACATCTGAATTCAAAGACTTTTCAGGTCTACATTTTAAGTAATCCATTAAAAAAACGGTTTGTGACAAAACATCTGCGAAATGAACTGTTTGCATCAGCCTCAGCTGTACTGAGTGGGAGTAAGAAGGTTAACAGCCTTTTAAATATCAGCATGTTAGCACTGCACTTGTGAGCACGCTGTGCCCAAGAGTCTACCAGTTACTAAATACTAAAGAGTCCACTTAATTTTTTTTCAGCTTGCACTGAGTGATGACTTAGTGTGCTCAATGAAGACAGGAAAAATAAAATTGTTTTTTGCGATTTGTAATTAATGCAAAATCACAAACTTTTTTATCCATCTTGGCCTTTTATTTGTTTGTAGGAATCTGACACAACTTGGCTTTATGTTTGCTGTCGCCCCCCAAAACATAAACTTGATGGCTTCATTATTGTGAATGATGAAGCCATCAAGTTTATGTCATATTTATATTGTGAATGATGAAGCCATCAAGTTTATGTCATTACTGATGATGATAACTCATCATCAGTAATGATGAGTTAAGTTGGCGACCGAGGTAAAAGTGTTCTTTCACCTTGAGTACAGGGCAAAGCCTTTGCAGTCTGGGATTATTTGCTTGTGAGATCAGGCAGGTGTCAACTTCTGAGAACTCTTATGCTGTCACGACTATCAGTCCCTGCTTAAGATCTCACTGCTATCCAAGCACTCTGTAGTTTCATATAATCTCTATTATTATCACTATCAGCTAAGAGCTTTTCGTATGCATTTACAGCAAGGTAAAAGATGACGGAGAAGCGTCAACAACTGAAGGTCAAGCAGACCGCATCACACTCCTTATTCTTTCGCTGTTTCTTTATGCACATGTCAGATAAATCTTCACAAGAATTCCAATAGCCTGGCACACCTGTATCTAAGCAAACAGAGAACTCAGTACTCTTTCACTATTTAAATATGAAGATCTATCTTAAGAATGCTATGAATGGGGACGTAACGGTAAGAATAAAAACATTCCCAAATGTGGAATTATAACAAAAGATTTTGCTCTACATTTGCTAATTATGCTCTTGCACTTTATCTCTTTTTTGGCAGGTGGTGTTCTTCAAGTATGCACTTTTGAGTTCTGATGCAGACCTGCGGCTTAGTTATAGTGATATTTATGTCCCTGTGCAAAACAAGCAGTCCTTAGGAATAGGTTTTCAGGCTTCTTGAAGGACATTTACCTTTCTTTGGATGTTGGCTGCTTTTTATTCATTTACAAAGCCTCCACTGTGTTTTACAGATGGCTGTAGAAAATCACTGTGGTAGACTTGTCACAACTGATTTTCAGTCCAGTTCTTGTGTAATTTGGCATACCTCAGCCTTTTCTGTTTCCCCTCCTGAAGAATGGCTTCTGGACAGGCACCCTTCCACTGAGACAATTTTGCATGAGGCTTCAATGAACAGATCATCTGAACATTCAGCCACTAAACATATTTTTTCTGTTCACGAATGCAATAACTGTGATTATGAAATCCTGATCAAAAATAATGTGCTTTTTAATATTCTTAAGTTTTTTTGTAAAACAATAATTATATTTTAGCATTAAAAATACAAAACAGGATTTTGGTAATTTGGTAATTTTGGTGCTGTTAATGCTTTGTATATCTATATCTATATAGAGATATATAAATATATATGCTGTAGAAACAAACTCATAAAAAGCCAAAATATTCAACAGAAAAACAGCAATAAAAGAAACAGTTATGTATGCCAATTTTTTTTAATACAAAATTCATCATAAACATTAATTTAATTCCAGAACAGAGCAGCAATTCGAAAGTAACAGTTATTCCAGCATTGGTTTAGGGATATTATAAAAACCCAGTTATTGACAGAATCACTATAAAAATAAAACACTTTTTAAGTCTAAGATTAAAAAACAAAAACAAAAAACAACCTGACTGAATAGAAGACATACAAAAATACCACAAATAAGCAGTTCTTATATACAGAATAAAACCAACAAGCTAAGATATGAAAATGAAATGAATTCTCTACAATGCAGTGTTGGACTCCAGTACAGAGGGTTTACAGAGAAAGGGACGCATCAATTAAATACATACACTACTACAAGTGTATATATACTGTAAGTCTATGATTTTCATCTGGACTGTGTAGTTTTCCCCAAATGTGTCAACATTTATGTTGTTACAAATGAAATTTATAACCAGAGCATCACATTTCTGTAAAAATGCCACATACACTAACTGACCACTTTATTAGGTACACCTTGTTAGTACCAGGTTTCCCTCCAGACCTGCCTTAATTTTTGGTGGCAGAGTGAACAAGATGTTTGAAACATTCCTAAACGATTTTGGTTCATATTGACATAATAGCATCACACAGGTGTGGCAGGTTTGTTGGCTGTATATCTATGATGCGAATTTCCCTTTCCACCAGTACAGTGAACTCACTATCATGTTTAACAAACGAGTTTGAGACTTGTGCCATGTTGCATTATAGTCCTAGCAGCAGCCATTAGAAGATGGATACACTGGGGTCATAAAGGGTTTGACATGGTCAGCAACAATACTCAATACAGCAACAAGAGGCTCAAAGTGTACCAAGAAAATATGCCCCACATCAATAAACCAGCTAGGGAGGATGACTCAGCGCTTTCATGACATTCATGTCAAAATGCACAGCAGAATTCAAGACTCAACAGACCAGATGGAGGGTTTCCAGTCTTCAATTGTTCAAGTTGGTTAGGCCATGTGAATTGTATTTTTGGTTTCCTGTTCTTAGTTCACATGAGTGACTAGAGATGTTCTCCTTTTTGAACCACTCTATTGTAACTTACGAGATGGCTGTGTGGGAAAATCCCAGTAGATCAGTTTCTGAATACTAAGACTAGCCCGTCTGGTGATGATAAGCATGGCACATTCAAAGATGCCTAAATGCACTCAGCTGGCCGTGAGAATGCTTTCTCAATCATACCCACACTAACAAGCAGCTGAACAAGCGTACCTAATAAAGTGACCAGTGAGGGTATATTCCCTTTCTAGGCAAACTCTTGATATGTTCATCATTAAGTAAAGGTCTACCTGAACAAAGTAAAAAAGATTAAGCTGCCTAAATTCAAATTTATGATGATTATTCTGTGAAATTATTATTAAAAAACGAAACGTAGCAGTGCATTGTTGAGTCAGCATCATTAATTACATCTGATTATTCGGAACACCAAGAATATTTTGATACAATATAATTGTCTACCAATCTTTCAAGACCACTTGAATTTCATCTATAAGATTTACCAAATGTTAACATCTGATAACCTGTTAATACTTTTGTAATGCATTTTACTACTGTTGCTACTTGCATTTTCTGCTGTTTTAGATCTTTGTAACCATACAAAGTACCAGTACCAGTTAATGAAATCTAAGAAAAAAAAAACAAATCACGATTAATAACTCTTTAGGTGTAAGTGGATCATAGTTTAGTTAAAGTTTCTTATTAAATCAGAAACGTGGTAAGTTCACCCCCTGCATTTGCTGCATGAAGTATTTGCTTCTGTTTAGAAAATGACCTATTAAGAGGAAAATCTCTTATAATCCTTCTATAACTTGAGTGAACAGGCTCTTTAATTCATCATCCTTGTTTACCATCGGCTGCAAGGACTAATTTTTTTTTTCTTTTTAGTAAAAATTGTAGTGGTTAATAAAGAGCGCTGTAATTGTGGTGAGAACACCATTATAGCCTCACTCCTCATTTTGCAACTCTGAGGTTAAGATGTGTAAATGTTTTAGTGGTAGCAGATCATGCCCTGAAACTCCAGCTTCTTTGAAAAGGCTGGAAGGGTTTCTTGATGCTGAAGAACATAAGATTAGGTTTGAGTCGTGGGGTTTTCTCGGGTATGACAGCAGCTTTGCTTTCTTCAGTGGGAAATCGACTATGGTAGACTTCAGGGTAGGACTTCTGAAACTGCAATGATGGGAAATGCATCGTTATTTTACAGTATACACACCCTATAAGAAAACTGACATTGTTTTGGATTTTACATTCACATTCCTTCTAGACCTCAATTTGATTCAAATTCAAGAGAAATGTCATGACACTAGCATTCAGTACCAATGAATTAAACTACAGCCATACCACTCAAATAAATATATTCTGACTTAGATCTGTAAACAAAGGCACACATTATTTATTTTTTGATAGACTAAAGGTAATGTTTGACTCGATGAGCGGCATAAAGCCTTTATTTATTTACTTTATTAGTGTACGGTTAGCCTCAGTAAAGGTTATATACGGGGCATTGCCGTCTATACAAATATACAAAAAGCTATAGAATCATTTCATTTAAAAATTGTGTCAAAATCAAAAGATTAAACTTACTACGAGTTCTGAATACATATCCTATCTTTATGAACTTAAGTTAAAGTTGAGGTGTTACCTTCTTTTTTGCTAACAGCTCTGTGACATCAGCTGCTTTTAGTTGTATATAACTTGTCCCTGATTATCTGACCAGGATGCAAAATATGATCAGACACAGAGAAGTACCAACAGACCTGTTCCTGCACCTGACAGTGCCATGTTGTTTCACATTAGCATCCTCTCCAGTACTTACCGCATCTATGGCAACAGGAGTACTACAGGAAAACGAATAGAGTGCAATCACGTCTTTCGCGGACTCTGGAGCGAATTGATTCTGACGTATTCGTAAAATTCAAATGGCTTTTACATAAATGCTTGTAATTTGTTGTTTGAGAACAGCTTGGCTTTCCCCTCAAAATCTAATGGGACAGATCCCGTTGAATCTAGCTCTAATGACAGCCTTGGTGTGTAGGCATACCTGTTTTAGTCTTTTCCTCTTGTCTTTAGCGGGGAGTTCTTTGTCTGCAATCAGGCCTTCCAGCAACTGCTGCAGCGGGGTCTGAGTGCCTATCACCCTCTGCTCCTCGCACTCCACCCTGCTGATCTGCTTGTAGAAAGCTGGAGATGCACTGAAATCTGTATCAGCCCCTGCATATTTGATCTGATGGAAGACACAAAGACACAGCAATACATTAAAAAATGTTTATAGTTATAACAGTGTGGGACAGAGGCCCACTGATGGAGTAAAAGATAATAATCAATTTGGGCCTTCATCTGATGTTGAACACGTACCATCAACATCGTCTTCATTTACTAAAGTACGAGCCAAAATTAATCATATACACACCTAATATGAATCAACTGTGTGCACACACTTATAAGTGAAGCCCCTGTAAACCCAGGGATCGGCAACTCTAGGCACGTGTGCCAACTAGGGTTAACTGATGGCACGACCATAGCTGGACTGGCCATCCGGCATACTGGGCATTTGACTTTTTTTTCTTCTTTGTAACGGTATAAACAATGAAAGGTGGTGGATTGGCCAGATGCTGGTCGGTGTGTAAAAATAACTCAGTTGTTTGGTGGTGGCTATGGCGGAGCTTCCTCAGATTCAGTAAAATTAGCAAGTGGTGGAGGGCAGCAGGTGGATAAGAGAAAGGGGAGGCAGGAGGAGAGACCCGAGGCGGCCGCCGGTCCGAGTGTCAGGTGAACTGAACTTCAGGTAAGAAGTTATGACCTGCAGTCTATCTGGGACAGATATAAACCAAGTTTAGGTGGAGTTTATTTTCGTTGTGCTGACTTTTAATCAGTTACAATAACTCTTACTGCGTGCTAGCTAGCATGACGGAGTTTCTATACAGCTGGGTGGGTGCTTTGATGTTACTGATGTTGAACTTTATTTAATTCATAAGGTTAGTTATTAGTTTCCAACCGTCCCATAAAAAGACGGAATCGTCCCGTATTGAGAGAAAATATTACGCATTTCGTGTTGAGGTAAAATGGGACTGTTTGTCCCGGACTTCAGCTAGAATGGAAAAAGACACAAAGCTGGATTTATTCTGTGTCTTTACTGCACAGCTGCCTCTTCTTCTCTCATTCTCCCCCTCCCTCTCCTGTTTCTTCTCCGATCATGAAACTGATCAATGATCAGCTGATCGGCTTTTCTCTCTTGTTTGTTTATCGCCCACTTTGCGCCAAAAAGAGGAAACCGGCGGATGACGCTAAACAACAGCAGCACGTTTAAGCTTGATCAGCTGTTGTTAGAATGTATTTAATATTACTTTCTAGTATCAGCTGATGTTTGCTGGAATGTTAGCTTTTATTAAATAATTATCTGAAGCTTACAACCAAAGTTTTTATCTGACGTAAAATGTATAGAAATCATACATATAACATCGAAGCAGCTGGAATCCACAGCTGTGTGTGTTCATGGAGCTTGCATTTTCACCTGCTGGACATCACTACCTGACAAGTTTAACTGTCTTCAGAACATTGCAGAGGCCTTATTGACAGTATTTGGCTCTACATATCTGTGTGAGCAGATTTTCTCTCACATGAGTGTCCTCAGGTAGCAGTCTGAATGCTGGACACTTGGAGACCTGTGTCTCTGAGTGGGAGACCAGAGATCACATTAACATGTGTATCTCTGTATTAACAAACATGCCATATTGGCCCAGTTTATTTTTCTTATCATTGTTGTGAGGAGACCATAAATAGCATTTGCATTTTCTGTTGTACAGTTCATTTGCTGTCATGGAGTTCTTGTTATGGATAAAAAGTGTCTTTTTTTTGTTTCAAAATAGCTGATAACTATTTGCTGATAGCTGCCAACATCTGTAAACAAATATAATTTGATAAAGTGGTTCTATATAGTGTGTAACCGTTAATATAGAGCGTAATTAAATTTATTGCTAATGCAATCATATGCACACTGACTTCTGAGGAAATTATAAATTGCACTCGTCATCAGAAAGGTTGTCTACCCCTGTGTAAACCCCATCAAGATGGAAAATAAATCACTCATTTCTTGTGTTGCCTTTGTTCCCTTTGTTTAAATCTTCAAATTAAATCAGTTGGAGTCTGGTTAATATAACACTAAACTTAATTTCAATTTCATTGTGACTGAATGTGTACCAACCTGTGCTCTTTTGAGGTGGGACAGATGCTCTTCAACTTGGCAACGCAGCTTGGCAGGCACCTGGAAGATGGTGTTGTGATGCTCCATCATGTAGGTCACCAATTTGGTGGCAAGTAACTCATCCAAGTCCATGTCGTCTGCTGAGCCAAGAACGCACTGAGAGAACATCTGCACCATCTAGACAGACACCACAGTGAGAGTTGGATAAGGGGGTCACTGCCAGTGAAAGTATGCTGCTTACGCTACAGCAATATTGAAGATTTATAAAATATGTTAAACACCCATCATAAATCCAGAGTAATAAACATCTTTGTGAAAGTTATATTGTGTGAATTTTGCATGCAGGCAGATTTTTTGGGTTCATTATCTTGCTAAAATGAAGACTTAATAAAGTGATACACTGCTATACGGAGTTATAAAATAAAAACTATATAATACCCTTTTTCATTAAGTTTTTAACTGGCTTCACTTGCAGCATGTTGCTATGAAGAGTGTTTTATAAAATCTTAAATCTATAAAATCTTTATATGTGAGAGGTCTAATGTGCCTGGGGTTGTTGCAAAGTAAGACAAAATAATCATTATAATGACTGCACTGAAAAACACTGAACCCACATCAACCTCCCTGAAATCCCACAGAAATCCCCCACTCTCACTGAAAAGCAGCTATTAAGCAGCCAGACTTTCTACAGTCCATTTCCATGTTTATAGGCCCATCACAAAAAAAATGTTGTATATCTACCACATATGCAATTTTGAGTCTTTTTAACTTCTTTTATACCCTTTCGTTATTAAGAATAAAGGACTGTCCAAATCCCTGACAATATTGCACTATAGTCCATTTACTCTTTACTCTTTTCAGGTAACAATGATTCTGCACAAACTGTTTCAGAAGAGCTTCACTCTCTTCATCCTTGGTACCACACAGGAAGCTATGGGAGAATGTATTCTCCTTACCATAATTCATCACAGCCTGACAAAAAAAATATGTTTCTTTCTTCTTTTACACATTTCAAGAACAAAGCTGTCAAATAGTCAATTCCAGAATTCCAACCAAACATGTTTTAATCATTTCAAAATTCTGAAAGCATGATTTTTTTCTTCAACTATACTAGACAATATACCAAATGTACCAGAGGCATTTGACAAGAAGGAATGGTAGAGGCAACTGCAGGTGATGGACAAAAGCCAGTAAGCAAATCGTAACAAAGTGCATTCTGAAAAGAAAGTCTGCAGCGTAAAAATGAATACCTCAGACTTACCCAAGTAACTCAAAAATATGCATCAGTGTGAGTTATTAAAATGTTGTTACAATGTTCATGCTCATATAACAGTTTTACAGTTATATGAATTATCACAGTTGTATCTGTTTTATCACAACATGAGCTGGCACTCTGTGCAATATTATATAGAAATATCTATAAAAGAGTGTGTTGAAATAAAGTGTTTTTACACATGAACTAGCAAAATCAGTTACATAGACTTTATAGCAGGGAGCTAGCACATTAAGGAACATTTAATGTCCTGATCTGATGGAGTCAGCTATTTTCATTCTTTCATATACCTCTGTCAGTGATATACTAGTACAGTTAGGGACTCAGTGCGTGCATGAAAAAGAGTATATACCTCCATTTGCTTGATTTATATTAGCAGTTGGAAGTTGTGGTACATGTATCAACGAATCTATGGTTGACATATATGGTTATAACCTTTATGAAAATAGAATTGTCTGCTGGACTATTAAATTTCCATTATGTAACAGGCTCATTTGTCCTCCTATAATATATGAATACTGATTTATGAGCTTTTACTAAAACAATGGACTTAGTTAACCTGCCGAAATGGTACAAAGTGAAATAAATAAATTGTAGGATTATGTACCAGTGTGCGGGTAGCAATCATGTCATTAAGTGGAGGAAGCTGGGGATTCTGACAGACTCGGGCCATGAGACGCAATAAAAGCTGGAGGCGTCTTCGGTTGGGTGGCGGCAGAAGGAGGCAGCTTACTTGAAGAGCCTCACTGGCTGCCTCCTGCACTGGCAGCAAACCTGCAGTGATATAATAAAAGATAAGTCCAGCACTGGAAGGGTAAACTTAGAGGTTAGCAAAACAAACACCAGAAAACAGCAGTGCAAAAACACTGTAGTGAATCCACGTTGTGAGGCACTCACTGAGAATGTTGACAAATACTTCATACAGATGAAAAGTCAGCAGGGGTTCTTTAAGTCTCTGGTAGTAGTCTGCTACTGTTCTTAGAACATCCCTCTCAAAACCTGGGTACACTGGCTGTTTGCTTTCATTGCCATTAGGCCCTGAGAAAGAAAACAAAGACAGATGTATGGCTTTTCACAAGGAACAGTGGAGGAAAGTTAAATACACACACAGGCTTTGTAAAAGACCTCTAAAAATTACAAGTGCTTATGGCACTAAAAGCCCAGAGAGAAATATCACCTGTCAGAAACTCATTAACAATATAAAATAAAATGAAAGTGAAATCAATTGTACAGAATGATTCTTCTTCAATCTTACTTATGGCAGTATTTTTTTTTAAACAAGAATTATTTAAGGTCAACAGAAAATGTATACTTACAGTTAGCAAGGCATTTCATTGCAGTTACCACCCAATAGGGCATGTCCTCTAGAAATGCAAACAGAATGGGTGAATTGTAATCATACAGCAAGTTTCAACAACAAAAAAAGCAATAGTTCTGGGAACCAATGCAGCATACCAGCTTTGTTCTCCAATACAACTATGCCTGCTTTATTGACACTGAACACATTGTGAACAATGTGCTTGCCATTGACATGCGCTGGGTTCAAAACGCCATCCAGTGTCTTCAGACCCAGCACTCTCTGCAAACTAAAACAGGATTAGAATTAAATCTCCATACAGCACAAACAATGGAAGTGATGAACAGGTAATGTACAATAGTAACATACTGTGCCACTGTCATTGACTTCCAGATGTGATCCACTTGTTTTGATGTTATCTCCTTCCTGCGTATAAGCTTGCATTCATGCACATCTCCAATAGCAACGCTGTGCCTTTTATTCCACAAATCTGAAGTCTGATTAAAAAGGAAAATGAAAAAGTTACTTTGAAAGTTAAATTGAGTAAGCACTGTGAAAGGAACCCATGAAACTGTGCTACAATCAAACAAAAGCTATACTTACTAACTTAAGTTTAACTTCATGTCAGAAGTCTGTTAATGAAAACTGAATCCAACCATAGATGTCCATAAAGTAAGTTACGTGCAATAATTAGAAATGACACAGGGAATAAGTATTGTACCTGTTTAATGATATTTATTTAACATTTTTGTTTGTTGGTGATGGCAGCTTCAAGACACCTTCTGTATGTTACACCAGTGCTGCATATATAAATATCTATAGCACTGATGTAACATACAGGAGGTGTCTTGAAGCTGAAGAGAAACAGGATGTATGAAAGGAGCTAATGAAAGCACAGTTGGGGGTAGAACATTTCTTTCTCACCAGGACAGCAGACTTCACGGGTGCAAAGTTCTCCTGCTGAGGCAGCTCCTCATAGTCATCCCAGCGGATGAGTCTGGGCAAGTCACTGCAGTCTTTTATTACAGGCCTTGCTGGAAAAGACTTGAGTGGAGACAGTGTTGGGAACCTGGAGAGACAGTCAATAGTACTGGGCTCAGTTAAAGAGGTAAAGAGATGCACTTGCTAAACAGAGATGAACTGTATTGTGGAAATGCATCAGTGATGTCTTCTAATATAAAATAAAGAAACAAACCAAAAACAAAGGAGCTATGCAGTATGACAGAGGAGCACCTGTACAAATGGCCATTGTCCTCAAAGTCCTCTGTCCCATGGCGGCCTTTGCTATCTTCAATCACATGGGCCTTGAGGAACTTTCTAAGCAGCTGCAGGGTCTGGTAGCGGGTTATCTCAGGACCAAAGTTGTGATTGTCCCTCAGCAGATTATGCAGATAATCCACAGCCTCGGTTCCCGTGAAGCTGCAGTCATAGCAGCGAAAGTGTGCCCAATGCCTTCTAAGTGGCATGCCACCGCGAAAAAGTCTGATGGTTTCATTCCACTGCATAACAGCAAAACACAGAATGTGGTGAGAAACGCTGCAGAGTGATGTGCTTCAATACTGTTTTTAGCTATGCTTTTATACGATGTTGCCACAGCAGAAAATCTGCATGCATGATGCCCATTAGTTACTTTAAGATGGCAGTATCAGCCATACACAGGCATGTATTTAAATAGCAAATGAAGAACAGACATTTCCATGTTTATAGGCCCTGCTCTGAAACTACTCTAACAACTCCATTATCCTCCTGTTAGGGGAAAAAAAAAAGATTTACTTATCAATAATAAATAAAACACTATCTCATCATCGTGTTTTGGGATGCATTACCATCATTGTGTTACACTGTGTAGATGTGTGGGAGAAAAATAAAAGGCTTTGAGCTTAGATAAAAGCAGAGAGAGAACAAGAAAGAGGGAGGGAGAGAGAATTAGGCGACACAAGGTCTTTAATACCTGGAAGAATCCCTGCAAATAAAAACCTTTGCCCTGGCTAGTCTCAATCATGAAAAAGGTTTAAAGTAAAGGAAAAGACGGAAAATCTTAAAAAACGAAAGCCAATAAGCTCGTCTGCAGACTGTTTGAAAGAGAGACATCGAAAAAGAAACTGGTGAAGGAAGAATGCTGGGGTAGCAGGTGGAAAGCTAGCTGACAGTTTCTAGAAATTCTTTTTGCAGAAGAATTAAAACAAACAAACAAAAAACAAAAACTATGCGATTCCATTGTGTATTTGTGACCTTTGATAAATGAGAATGAATTTCAATTAAAAAAAAAAAATGATCCAAATACCCCATGGCAGGAATCTGATTTACAAGAGTTAAACCAAAGAGCCAGCAGCCTGGATGTTATTGAGTAAACAGGCCAAGGCTAGTAAAAGCCTTCCACTGTGTTCAAACTCAAAAAGGTTTTTCTCTGTAACCCTGGAAAACTTTGATTTTTATTCGCACTTTAGGGGTCTTTTCTGACTCAGATATGTCAAAGAAAATAACAGGTGTACATGAAATTAATGACAGCTCAACTTCATTTATCTGCTTCTGTTTCAGTGCCCTGCTTTTAATGGGGAGGCACACTGAGGTGGGAGTTTGAACAGAAGTAGGAACCGAGGGTTAAAACTGTGTGCTCCCAAACAGTGGATATTTTGAAATACTTGTTTTGGACTTTGGGCGTAAAAAGAGCTAACATTAACAGCAAACTGTGTTGTGTATCGAGCTCTTACACGAAATAAAGAGTGCCGAGTGTGTTTGTGATAAGTAACTACATATAATATGCAAATTCACTATATCTATGTGTACTTAGTTTTAATGTAGCCTCACTCTAAACAGGCTTGTAAACGCTTACAAACCTAACTGATAACGCGAGAGCTGTTTATTAGTTCAACTTACGACTCGGTTACGTTTGTAAGAACGCAGTTCATTTAACACAAGTTTACTTTACGTTGACACGTAAATAGTTAAGCCACACACGAAAAACTACCTAGTCTCTCCATTTACATTAAGTTAAAGCATTCTAAAGTAACGTGCTTTAGTTCACAACACTCACCAGTTTCGTCGCCCTGTATGGACCCGGTCCAATAACTTGGTTTTCCATTGTAATAGTAAAAACCCCGCTTCACTTGGACACCGACATGGACACAGTTTTCTTTTTTTTCTTTTAAGCTTGTCAAAAACTTAAGTAGAAGAAGAGTCTGAGCAGAAACGTTGCTGGCAACTTTGAATCTCGTGCGTCACATCAGTTCTACGACGTGATTAGTCAGCAGTATGATCACGTGACCAATTGTAGCAAAGCGTTTATAAATAAATGTGGCAGCGCAACATTTTGCCCTGCCCCCTAAAAAAACCCGACACAGCCACTTAGGGTTGATAAGAGGAGAATAGGACTATTTTTAGGGTATTTATTTATCTTCTCTCTAAAAACATTTAAATTTTAACTACATGATTTGCTTATAAAACGTTTGTGTCACCTCAAGACGACCGCCTCGATTAATTACGAAACTAATACTACTATTGGTGAGTAACTGATTGTAACAGTTGCCATGCTACTTGCTTGCTACTTATCCCCCAAAATTGTATATTAAATGTACACGTACTCGGGAAAGACAGGCAATTTTAGACAATTATGAAACACGTACTGTTTAACTTCACACAGTATTTTCTCCTGTGTAGCATTGAAAAATAAGCTAGGAAAGAAAAACAATGACAATTTGTCTGTATATACTGCTACATTATTTATTTAAATTTATTTTATTCCTTGTCCACCTGTACTACATCTTGAGACAATGTCCCATATTACTGGTTCTGCAGAACAT